TTATATATTTAAGTTATTAATTTATTTTTTAAGGATTTTAGTTTTAGGATTTAGTTTCATTGTTCTAGATCGTTTTTAATATCGACGGCATTTTCTAACAATAAAATTCCGTATGACATTACATTACGGCAAAAAAAATACTAAGCTGGCGGTATTTACATCCGTAAAGTGACGTTTCTTCATTATGTTACGGTATATGTTGCAGAGCTCAACAATATGTGAATCTATTCAAGCTTAGAATCCAGAGAAGTCCCTTAGAAAACTGTGGTATCTAAAAGGTCCATATTCTTAACCTTTAAATTCACACTGATGTTAACCAGTTTAATATTAATCCGCAATACAAAATTTTAACATTTAGTTTTTCCTTCATTAGGTAGTTGATTATTGACATTGAACCAGTGGACTACCTTAGAGATATTTAATATATAATTGTTCACGTTGTCAAGAACTGTTTGCATATAGTCGAGTATCTTGTGGGTTTTTCTTGTAGTCCAGTATAAAATAATTACAATGTAAGTTAAATCCTTGGTATACATTAAAAATAAAAATTACCAAGGCTTGAAGTCTTAAAGGGAGTTAGGAGCAGATCATTGATGTGCAGCAAGAATAGAGTTGCGGAGAGGACAGATCCCTGAGGGACACCGGCATTAATGCCGGCAATGGAGGTGATTGCAGTAGGTCGATAGTTCGATAGTTGGCAGGGTCGGTACGACTACCCTTTTTGGGTACTGGTTGGGCATTGGCAAGCTTCCAGGTTTTCGGAACTTGGCCAATCTCAAGGGATAAGCGATATAGGCGAGTCGGAATAGGAGACAACTCAGGGGCACAATTCCGCAGGACAATAGCTGGAATGCCATCGGGCCCACTGGCTTTATTCACATCTAGAGTGCTTAGCGTTTTCAGTACCTCTTTCTGATGGATGCGAACTTCCAACATGGCAGAAGAAAACTGAGGAAGCTTAGGTGGGTTTACGCCAGCAGCATCTAGTTGTGAGTTGTTCGAAAATATAGAGGCAAACAAGTCCGCCTTCTCTTTGGAGGTGTGAGCCAGCGATCCGTCAGGCTTAATCAAAGGTTTAAATCTAAAGAAAATATAACTAGAAAAAATTCCACGCGGACCAGGCAGCAGACGGGACTCGAACCCGCACCCTTCGCAATCCGGGCGAATGCACTGACCAATTATGCTACCGCGGCCCTCACGGACCGCGTCGAAATTCCTTCTAGCTATTCTTAAGCTGCAAGGCAGCGCCATCTCTTCGCATTATAGGCAAACCCACAATGTCAAATGAATACTTTTACAAGTCAATTCAATTCACTTCGAGAGGTCAAAAAAACAACAGATCTAAAGACTGCTCTTATCACATATTATGCTTATGCCAATGCCTGGTTTACCTATGGAATCATCTTGTGGGGGAACAGTACGGACGTATCCTCTTTATTCACACTACAAAAGAAACTTATTCGTATTATTGTTAATATTAACCAAACTGAAAGTTGTAAACCTTACTTCCAAAAATATGAAATTCTCTCTTTACCAAGCATTTATATATTTGAGATTTGTAAATTTGTAAAAAAATACTCAATTTTTTTTACTAGAAGAGAAAACATTCCTTCTAAATATACATCGAGACACAAGAAAAACCTAATGGTTCCAACTACTCGCCTTAAATTATGCTCATCGAGCACTTATAATATGTCTATAACAATCTATAATAAATTACCTGAAAATTTAAAAAATGAAGAAAATTACAATGTTTTTATTAAAAAAAATTAAGTTAATGTTATTGAATAAATGCTATTATAGCCTCCAGGAATACCTAAATGATAAAACTACAATACTTACATAATTAATAATTGTACATAAATCATAAATCTAATTATACAACATCTTATTGGAGTAGTATGAATAAATAATTTTTATGGGTTTTAATTCATTGGATATAACAAATTATATCACAATAAGGAATAATGAATAAGACGTCCTCTCCTCCTGCAATTGCGATACCCTACACTACAGGGTCCATAATGCACTTTTGTCTATATGTTACCACCTTTGTATGTCCATTATGGTCTGCAATAAATGAATTGAATTGAATTGAATTGACTTGTAAAAGTATTCATTTGACATTGTGGGTTTACCTATAATGCGAAGAGAAGGAATTTCGACGCGGTCCGTGAGGGCCGCGGTAGCATAATTGGTCAGTGCATTCGCCCGGATTGCGAAGGGTGCGGGTTCGAGTCCCGTCTGCTGCCTGGTCCGCGTGGAATTTTTTCTAGTTATATTTTCTTTAGATTTAAACCTTTGATTAAGCCTGACGGATCGCTGGCTCACACCTCCAAAGAGAAGGCGGACTTGTTTGCCTCTATATTTTCGAACAACTCACAACTAGATGCTGCTGGCGTAAACCCACCTAAGCTTCCTCAGTTTTCTTCTGCCATGTTGGAAGTTCGCATCCATCAGAAAGAGGTACTGAAAACGCTAAGCACTCTAGACGTGAATAAAGCCAGTGGGCCCGATGGCATTCCAGCTATTGTCCTGCGGAATTGTGCCCCTGAGTTGTCTCCTATTCCGACTCGCCTATATCGCTTATCCCTTGAGATTGGCCAAGTTCCGAAAACCTGGAAGCTTGCCAATGCCCAACCAGTACCCAAAAAGGGTAGTCGTACCGACCCTGCCAACTATCGAACTATCGACCTACTGCAATCACCTCCATTGCCGGCATTAATGCCGGTGTCCCTCAGGGATCTGTCCTCTCCGCAACTCTATTCTTGCTGCACATCAATGATCTGCTCCTAACTCCCGGTATCTTTGGGTATGCAGAAAGTTGCGGCCATTGCGAAAGTTGCTTAATTTCAAGCCAAGCCAATGAGTTCTCCGATATCTTATAGCTTATATCGTTAGCAATAAGTATTCGCTAACTGCTTTTGACAGATGGAAATGATAATCACCGAGCTCTTTAGTGATCCACTATTACTTTATTATAACACCACTAAGATACTTTTACTTAAAAACGAAGGATGGATGTTTTTTCTTTAGTTACACACTGTATAATATCAAAACAGCTATAGTAGAACTTTTTATTAGTAGCAGTAAAATGACTTTTTGTGGGTTACCGCTTTTTGAATAAAAATAAATAGGGATGTAGCTAAGTGAGTAAGTGAATCATTCAATAAATGAATGATCAGTTTGGTTTCGTTTAAGAGATTTAATATTAAGTTGTAATGATTTTTTATTCTATTATTATTACTATAGTAAAGGATTGATCTTTTTCATTGGAAGTATCGGGACGTACATCCAAAATTAAACAAAAAGTCATAACAATGTTATTTATTAATCAAATATTTTCGGTATCACTATCGCTGTCGCTTTCGGTCACACTAATGACAAATCTGTCTGTCATTTCATCAATAATATGATCGAGGTTGCACATATTGTCTTCCTCTTTTATAGTGTTAGACACACAGTCACTCCACTTAACCGGTGTCACTTTGTTGATTCCTTCTTGGAATAAAGTTGCATTTTATATGTTTTATTAATGTTTGCGACGTGCCTGAGCCCAAACCAACTCGATGGGGTTCAATTCACAGTGATAAGGGGGCAGTCTTAAAAGTCTGATACCTTTTTATGCAGCAATCTCGTCCACGGCATATTTCTCAGTATGATTTTGTTGTTTCACAATATCTATGAGAGTGGCCTTCACTATATTTGGTTCAAATGTAATATTTTTAGTGGTCAGGTCACTCTTGAATCTAATTGGTTAAAATTCCACATGGGGTGGGAGAAAACATATTATACCTAACGTATAATAAAAAGATTAGTGATGACAGGTAAACTAACCTTTGCGATGGTGGGTACTTCATTTCTATGAAAGAACTGATGTACAATTCGTCTAATAGCGGGGAATGTGAAATCATCAAGTTTACTAAATTCCATTAGTTGTGGTGGAATTACGGGATAGTTTTGATGTGGGGAGATTTCGTGTACGTGTTCCTAATAAATAATACTTTCCGTGACAAAAATCTCAGCTCGGTACTCAACCACAACTAATGGAAAGCTGAGCCCTTCAGCCACCTTGTTGACGCATTCACTTTTTTTTGGAACTTCAATATTTGATTCTGTAGATTTCACTTCAAACACATATTTGTAAACGTTTCTGACCCAAAGTTTCTCGGTTGCACTAAGAGCTACACGTGGCCTTTTTTCTTAGGAGATAGAAATGTATCTCCATCTTGTGATATGCTCAACTGAGCATGCCTTCGATGTAACAAAAACAAAAAAAGGCTGACACGATTAAGAAAAAGTAGGTAACTAAAAACAAACATAACGTAACAAAAATTTAACAATAATGATAACTAAAACAACTCGCAGTGGGCAAAGCAAAGTTATTCGTGCACTAAAAACAGAAGTTAGAAGCCGAATGAGCGAATGACAAATGAAATAAAATGGCGGACAAGCCTCATCGCAGCACCGTAACTAAAAACCAGTACCAACTTGAGATTTTATACAGCCTTTTATTTATATGAATAATAAATAGAATTAAGTATGATCATTATGAGTTAGTTATGGAACGATTAGATTTTCTGTGAACCTAATCACATCCCTATTGAAATTAGGCGGTCAACATTATTTAACGGAATGACATTTTGAAACGTCATTTTATGCAGCTAATAAAAAGTCGAAGTATAGCGAATTGGCCGGCTGGTCATGACACTGATTGCGGGATTATTCATCTGATTCATTAGCCAGATATGCTTCCAGATATATTATTTGCCTGTCAGGCGTCTTGGAGCTGTGTAGTCGGTGACACAAACTCATGAACTAGCTTACAACTATCGTAGTGTTGCGACCACTAGCCGGTACGGCTAGTGGTCGCTGTACAGCGTGGTGACGATGTACGTGGTGGGCACGAAGCCCTCCTCCCGAGTGTGATTTCGGCGTACGCGCGTTCATCCATCGCCCGCGTCCGTCTATTTTACAAATATCATAGTGAGGCGAGGTACCGGCTAGTGGTCGCTGTACAGCGTGGTGGCGATGTACGTGGTGGGCACGAAGCCCTCCTCCCGCGTGTGGTGCCGGCGTACGCGCGTCCATCCGTCGCCCGCGTCTGTCTCTAAGACGAGAAGCTTCTCGCCGCACTCCATGCGCATCGTTGAACCGGTGCCGTTCGCTGCAAAATAAAAAAAACATTCAAATTAGACATTATAATGGCAATCAATCATATATCATGCAGGCTCTTCACTTGGCTTTTCGTGTTTGCTATTTGATAACTTGGATTCAGTCTGTCCTTTTCATTCTTTGTAAAGCAGATAAGTACAAACTCAACTTTACAAATAGTAAAATAAAGTGCCGGCATAGTATATAATTAAATTTATATGCGAGTTTAAGAAGTAGGATTTTTAAAGTAAAGACTGTATCGCTTCTGGCGATCTTCTGTAGATCTGGCTCGTAGTAGCAGTCGCAGCCGTGGTCGTGGCGAAGTTGGTGTGATCGCCGTTGGCGTTGCCATGGTCGCATTGGAGTGGTCTCCGTTGGCGTAATCGTGGTCGCACTCACCCTCGAACGCGTACAGCGCCTTGCAGTAGCCCAGCGGCTGCAGATCCGGCTCGTAGTAGTAGTCGAAGTCGGACTCGTGGTCGGCGTGATCGTGGTCGCCGTTGGCGTGGTCGGCGTGCGCGGCGGCGATCTCCCCGCCGAGGCCGGACTCAGGCGAGCCACCGGCGGCGCGGCCGTTGGGCACGCCGCCGCAAGTGGAGCCCGGCCCTGCGCCTGCGCCCGTGCTCACTGACGACTCGGACGCCGAGCGGGATAGCGACTCGCTGTTCGAGCCGATGCTGGAATGTTTATGTAGGGATTAAACCGGCCCCCTTAGCATGAGCAACGTGATATGATATGAGGAGTTGGCGAACAAAACGGTATAATTACATCAAGTTAAATTTTACAGGAGCAGTAAAAAACTGAATGACATTCGTACAGTGAGCTTTAATTAATTTAGTAATTTTAACACTAATTTAGGCGGTTTTGATTAACAACAAGTTGAAATTCAAATACAGCTGGCCCTGGCTCAGGGCTGTAAAAATAAAGTATTATTTGGTCATTACCACATGCGTTATTATACCGTTTTGTTGCCAGCTCCTCATATATAACGCTTTTTCATCACGCTCCATTGTCACATAACTATGAATTTTTGTCAAACTTGACAAAACTTCTGTCGTAGTGGTGCTCATGCTACGGGGACTGGACGCAAATGTACGGTTTCCTGATCAAGAATACCGATTTGAAGACCTGAATGCACGTCCTTACATAAAGAATGTTCAACGAGGCGCACACAATTTTTTTTTCAGAATGGAAAAATCCTTACTACCTTTTCGGACTTAAGTAATAAAAAAAGGAACATTTGTGCTAGGCTCACGGAATTCCAGATTAGGAAATTGAATCGGGAAACCGTATGTGTGCACCCAGTGAAAATCAATTTACATTTACGAAAATTCCGTTGAGGAAGTAATAATCTTAAGAAGATGATACCACAGCTAAACACACGATGGAAAACCTTTTCATTAGGCAAAAGCAAAAAACATTATACTTGTTTATGAATCCCATCCCGTTCTCGCCATTATTAAAGTCTCATTAAGTATTAAATGTGCAAGTATTTTAACAAAACTATTTTCGAGATTAAATTGGGTGAAGCGAAATTTAAAATCATCCTTACGAAAGCAGTATTGCCATCGCGAAAGTACAAAAACACGTGAAAATACTTCGAAATTACCATTTTGGTAAGGTCAAATGTCACTTTCACTTATTAGACAGTTGAACAGGTAATCCCCAGTCCTCTCCCTGTGTCTATTCTATGTTGTAGCAGACTGACCGAAAAGTAAATTCATTATATCGAGAATCGAACGTATCATCATCATTATCATCATCCTATTAATGTCCCCACTGCTGGGGCACAGGCCTTCCTCATGGATGAAATAGGGAGATTGGGCCATGACCCACCACGCGGGTCCAGTGCGGGTTGGTGGGTGCTTCCGAAGCACGGAGAAGCTCGAGATAGGAAATTTTTGGTCACCCATCCAATGACCGACCACTGCGAAAGTTGCTTAACTTCAACGATCGCAGCCGAACGCGATAACCACCCGCGCCATCGAGCTCCTCACGAATCGAACGTATCACAAGTTCACAACTCGACGGTTTACCTGGTGGCCTGTGTGGGCGGTGCGCCGTTAGTACGAGCGGCAGGATGCAGCGCCGGCGCCGTCACTTGATTATTCGCTTCTGCCAATAACTCCTCGAATTTGCGCAGCTGCGCTCGCAACTTCTTCAACTTGTCGCAACATTCGTTCAGTTGTCCTGTTAACGATACAAACTACAGGGTAAGAAATGCGAATTTTCGATGGAAAATTCGTTATTATTATATAAAGAGTAGGCCTCAAGTCGCTCAAGAAAAGAGTGCAATTAATCATGCAGTCTATGCTAATATCAAACCAGAATGTCTGATAAACTGCCAAATATACAGAGTTTTTACCCGTTTCGAATATTCGAATATTCTTTTGCCCGAAAAAAGTTTGAGCTATAAATTATTTAAGCCTGCTCTGCAAAAAACAATTTGATAGTTTATGGTTCTAAATTGTAACCGCAAATTGTCGAATGGAAATTTCGTTTTAACTTCGTTTGATATCGAAAGTTCGAAAAGAGAGTAACCAACAGGGCCTGCGGTTGTACTTTTAAAATAGATATCGATTAATCATGAACTTTGTCGTATCGGATGCTACTCAGCCGCATAAAATCTAATTTAGTTCCAGGAAAAAGATCTACAATTAAAACAACTTTATACATTAAAATTATATTCAATCAAAAAGCTATATAAACGACTTACCTTCAACAGTCATGGGGTCTCCTAATGTGGGATTCGTTTCATATACACCTTTCATTTTCATAAGACCTTCCATCGCAGCCTGTTCTTGTGCTACCTGCAAAGGGAAATAAAGACACATTATACGTTTGGTCAAATTACTCATTCAAAGTTTGACGACCTCCGTGGCCGAGTGGTTTGTACGCCGGGTTTCATGGTGTCGCCGACTCGATAGGTGCTGGGTTCGAATCCCCGTGGGGGCAGATGTTTGTGTGATGAATACGAGCAAATGTACTTCAGTCATGGATGTTTAATATGTATTTCTATATAAATATACTTATATGTTACAATTACCCCCGGCGACCAATGACCAAAACTTTCGGTCTAGCAAACATATAATAATTGTATTTATGTTATTAATAATTTTGTAATGTATGATATGTACTGCTGTATGTGTTCCTAATCAAATAAATAAATAAATATGTGTACTGTATATGCATTCCATCCGTTACCCTAGTATCCCATAACACAAGCCTTACATTGCTTACTTTGGGGCAAGGCTAATTGGTGTGTTGGCAATATTAAAAAAAAAGTTATCACAATAAACAAAAAGCGTTTGCTTACCTGTTTACTTAACTCGTGCACCTTGGCTTGTAGTTTCTTTTTCTTTTGGTTCGGTGGCAAATCTGAATAATCCTCCTTTCCATCCACAGACATGTTGTTCTGGAAGCCAATCCGCATTGTAAACAAACAATAATAATCAAAATCAACAAATCAGAAATCTAGAAACCAATCTAACAAAACATATACCTTATACCCTGTCTAAAACAAAATCAAAACCTAATTACTCAATCCATAAACCTGTAAGTAAACGTGAAGTGTCTCAATCTCAATCAAATTGTTCAACTTAAATTTTTGGAAGTTTCAAAACTTTCCCTTGACATGTTCAATACACGAATATTAAATATACATATACAACAACTTTCCAAAAGATAAATAACGGTTGTTTATAAGATAACTGTTTGTGCGCGGAAAACAAAAGAAAGCCGTGCAAGCATATGGGGTTACTCAAGCCACAATCAGCGGGCACCGATTACATACGTCATCGACACTTTTACTGGTCCGTTGTATTCATGCTCAAATAAAACGCGTAACGTTATAGCGTTGAATATTAAACAAGTGAAATCCACTATCACCGTTTCCCCGCTATTACGTTTTTACGGTTCAGATTATATTAACTCAATTACGTAACTGAAAATCAAAACACAACCAAGAAACCAATTAACAACTTCTAGTTGTTTTATTTGCTAACACGAATCTTTTGTTCTGATTAGTCTACAAATATATACTAAAGAATTATCGCATAAAAAGCATAAGAACACATCAAAATTATTAACAAAAGGGTAAACTTTTACTTTTGTCATATTCATAGCAACATAATGGTGTCGATTCTGACATAATTCTCTAAACCTAAAATTATATTTTACAACAGTGGTGTCGATTCTCGCATGGTTCTCTAAACCTAAACTTTTGACAACAGTGTATCCTTGTCTTTCTCTATACAAAATGAAAAGGAGAGATTGATGTTAAATTTAATTTTAAGTTTAGAGAATCATGCCAGAATCGACACCACTGTATTCTATATACACTGTGAAAAGGAGAGCTTGATGTTAAATTTTACAGAATCATACCAGAATCAACACCAAAATGATGCTTAAAGTTGTAAATTTTTATATCAATCAGAACAAACGCACATGCATTTAAATTCTAACAACCGAACACCAAAATCACCCACATAAAGATAAAGACCAATAAAAGTCCCGATTGACCATACCGCGTTTTCTCCAGCACTGACCTTGATCGAATTGCACGCCTCGACAATCTTCTGCGGTCAAGCGTTAGCGGCGACGGGCGCGGACAAACAAATAACATTTAAACAAGGAGGTATAAAGTGCAGAACATAAGACTACGATTCAAATAGATGTACACAGCGTGTGGAACATTTAACCTTTCAAAAATATAAATGAACTGTAATTTTTCAAAGAAATTGTGAAGCTATATTAAGAAAAACAAAACATCAACAAATTAACCCACACGATTGTCTATCTATTTATAAGTCTATGGGCAAGGACTGATGCGGAGGTAAGTCCAAGCGGAAAATATAAGTAGTTGATTCTAGTTTTTGTACATTATTGAAAGACAACACATCTATATTTAGTTTAGGATATGATAATGGACACTTTAAAATTATAGCGGGAAAAAATATTAAAATAAAATCTTCTCCTTCCGGAAATACTTTGATCAAAAGCTAAATTGTCAAATAAAAAAATGTTGGTAATTTAAACAATAATGTTCTATATTTTGGACATTTGTTTATTTACAATTCACCGAAAGAGTTGCATAATACAAAGCATATAGACATTACTAAATGTCGATTGCTATTAACACAAGTGTAACATTGACATAGTTACTCACTATAATAATATTGATAATGAACCGTAATGATGCACAGAGTCGAAGTGTGTGTGATTGTACATGAGTGAGTCATTGATTAAATAGAATTTCACGCTACTGCTACAAGTTATTTTGAACTTATATTCATTGTTAAACGTTGATGGTTAGGAAATGATAAAAAACACTTTATTTACAGTTGTATTTATAAATTTTATCACTAAGTGTAAGTACTGATGGGCACATTATGATTTATGATGTGTTGTCAGGGTGGTAAGGGGAATTAAATTTTGAGTAGAATGCCCCAAAAACTTTGCTTTAAAGGAGTGATTAAATGGAGATAGTAAGTGAAAAACCAAAGTCAGCAAGTTATCGATGATCGAAGCTATCACATGCTGATGAATAAAATCCCCACCACACACATAAACTTACTTTTCCGCGTGACAAGGCACCGCACATCACCAATTATTCGCCAAAATATCAATTGGTAGTTATGACCCATGTTAGATAAGGATCGATGGGGAGTAACAGACAAAAATAAAATTAGTATAATCCTCTAAAACATACCAAATGAACATAAGGTATGTGTGTGTACGTAGCTGGTTTGTAAACTTTACGCTATATTGGCATTTCGTATAGGGCATGTGATTCATACACTACAACCTACTGATATTGAAAATAACCCAGCTGCGTCAACACACATTATAATATAAAATAAATTGACATAATAAATATCAAGTTATAAGAAGTATAAAAAAATTAAGCAGTACTTCTTCCAAATTCAAGAACGATGGTATTTGTGTACTTAACACCATTACAATAGAGTTAAGTTTTAATTAAGTCGCGTTTGTGAAATGCAATATTTTGAATAAAAGAAATAATCTTGGAAACATGCAATATATTTTTATAAATAAAATTTTATGAGAAAAAGCTGTTTGCCCAATGCTGGAAGCACATACACTGTAAAAGTCATAAATTTTCAACATACTTATATATCAACATAAGAGAAACCCATAATACGTAAATATACCCATAATTAATCAGTTTAGTATTATACCCACCATAGTCACAATATTTAGTTAAAAATAGCAAATGTCGTGTGGTAATAATAACTTATCGGCAATAAAATAAATAAAAATAATTACTTCTATTATCATAAAAGTTGAAATACTTTCTTATTGCAAAGCCTTTTTTATTGGAAAGGGCAGCGGGCCAAAACTCTTGATGCTCTAAAGGGTAAGCCTTTTGGCAATGTTAAGAGTACTCAGTGCCAAGAGCGCGGCATATAAGAAAACTTAGTTTGCGTATAACTTTTTAATACTCTCAACTAACATTCTTTGTAAATGAATGTCAGGAATTGATGAAGGAGGATAGCTCAGCAAGAGGACGCTACAATAACATTATTTCATTAGCCCTAGAGGAAATAATGAATTATTCTATGCGATTACATGGCATTTGCCACTTTATCTTAAATAACCGCATATTGGTTCACATGCCAGTTTTATATGAAATGATAATGTGATATCTGATTTCGCCGACCTCCGTGGCCGAGTGGTTTGTACGCCGTGTTTCATGGTGTCGCCGACTCGAGAGGTATCGGGTTTGAATCTCGGTGGGGGCAGATGTTTCTGTGATGAGCACGAGCATTTGTACTCCAGTCATGGACGTTTAATATGTATTTCTATATAACTTATATATGTTCTGTATATGTATTCTATCCGTTACCCTAGCATCCCATAACACAAGCCTTATTACTCCAAGAAATGTTAAAGAAACAACATTTAAAATGGTTTCAAACAAGTATAAGGCCTGCATAATAGTAAGCAGCCACCATCTATATACGCTTGTCTTACTTTTACCCCATCCCCTGCTCCATGGAAACTAACTCAAAAAATAATAATATAATAAATAAAAAAGGTTGTATGGCCCTACTGCCCTTTGCCTCAATATTGGAAGAAAGAAAACAAAACCCTTTGAGTCTGTAGTGTCGCAACCCGCCATCACTTTGAACGTATCTCTTCCTCACTGCGGCTCATCTAGTTGAAGCTGAAAATGGACAGCAGTCCGCCCCGCTTCTTGATCCGGTTGCCGGAGACGATGCCGCGCGCCGTCGTCCGGTGGTTTCGGTGGTGGAGTCTGTAGTGTTTCACCTTGTTGGAGCTGAATATGGACATCAGACCGCCCCGCTTCTTGATCCGGTTGCTAGAGACGGTACCGGGCGCCGTCGCCCGGTGGTTCAGGTGGTGGAGTATGTGGTGTCTCACCTTGTGGGAGCTGAATATGGACAACAGTCCGCACCGCTTCTTGATCCGATTGCCAGAGACGGTGCCGCGCGCCGCCGTCCAGTGGTTCAGGTGTTGGGGTCTGTGGTGTCTCACCTTGTTGGAGCTGAATATGGATAGCAGACCGCCCCGCTTCTTGATCCGGTTGCCAGAGACGTTGCCGCGCGCCGCCGTCCAGTGGTTCAGGTGTTGAGGTCTGTGGTGTCTCACCTTATTGTAGCTGAATATGGACAGCAGACCGCCCCGCTTCTTGATCCGGTTGCTAGAGACGGTGCCGCGCGCCGTCGTCCGGTAGTTCAGGTGGTGGAGTCTGTAGTGTCTCACCTTGTTGGAGCTGAATATGGACAGCAGCCCTCCCCACTTCTTGAACCGGTTGCCAGAGATAGTGCCGCGCGCCGTTGTCCGGTGGTACAGGTGGAGTATGTGGTGTCTCACCCTGTTGGAGCTGAATATAGACAGCAGTCCGCCCCGCTTCTAGATCCAGTTGCCAGAGACGATGCCGCGCGCCGTCGTCCGGTGGTTCAGGTGGTGGAGTATGTGGTGTCTCACCTTGTTGGAGCTAAATATGGACAGCAACCCGCCCCGCTTCTTGATCCGGTTGCCGGAGACGGTGCCGCGCGCCGCCGTCAGGTGGTTCAGGTGGTGGGGGTGGTGGTGGGGCGCAGCTGCAGAGTCTGTGGTGTCGCCACCCGCCATCGCTTCGAACGCGAAGTCTTCGGGCGGCACGAAGCCGGACTTATACCTCTCTATTACTAGCTGTGTGTCCTGTGCATAGACAAATTCGAACTACTATCCACATATATCACATTCTCTGTTTCCACAGAGGTAACAATTTCGTAGGTATTGCTCAGGCCATTCCATATGTCTATGTTCCTCTATTGTCAGGGTTTAGCCATTGATATGGACATATAACATGGACTGAGCGACAATCGCGCGAAATTGACAACTCTCTAAAGAGAGAGAAAATACAGCAAATACACAAAGGAACTTTGGGCCGCCCGATCTCTTCGTTTTTTCTGCAGTTACCTGCCCAGTTTTAGTTAACAGTTGATTAGGAAACGCTCAGTTCATTCTATGAGTCTATAGGTTTATTAAATTAACATCAGAACACTCGACTATCCTGACTTTTGTTATATGGCTTCGCGATAAATATCATTAGGCTATTAATTTCCCCAGTTCTGACATACAGGTTTTCCCTGTGGATTGAATAGGAAAATTGACCCATGCATGACCCACCAAGCTAGTCCAGGATCAGCGGCTTGATGTGTCTTTCGCGCGGAAGTTTTTCAAGTTTTGCGCGCTAACCATTGTCTTTACAATAATTTTAGTGACATGAAATTGTTATTAACTCAATAATAACTGTTTTTGGAACAGGTTTAGTAGAAACAGATTTCTTTAAAAAAAAAATAGTTTGTTAAATTCATTCTTCATTTATCATTTGGCAACGCTGGATATGACCATCGCTTAAACACTTCAATTGATGTAAACAACCATTAGACGAATCATTTCGCACTGGTTCAATTGGGTAGAACAATTATTGAACAACTGACGATTTCTTATCGACTTTTCCGCTGTTTCAAGGTTGATTAAATAAAAAAAAATTACGAATCTTACGCTGATTGTTATTAATTGAAATTGCAACGGATGACGTTTTGCATAATTAGTGTTCCTTGCATTAGAATATTAACGCAGAAAATCGTTACCATCAATAAGTTTTACATTATAATTAAAAGCAGATTACACTACTTACTTAAAAAATATCTCTCAAAACAGGTTTTATATAAGCTTTAAAACAGTTTCATTGGTATTCAAATAATAGTTTTGAATATATCTATTACCTCTTTTTCATTTATACTATTAGCTGCTTGCTCCATTCCGTCCAGGCACTGCATTATAATTGGAAAAACTTTTCTCTCCACATCCACAGAACTCAACATGAAATTCTTAATATTCTTTATTCTTTTCTCGTCTAAATCCTGGAAAAGAAAAAGTGAAAAACAAACACGTCAATAACTATAAATAAACACAAGAATAGGTTTGTCGGGAGCATGGATATAATATACTTGAAAAAATATAGTGACGTTTACAATTTGTGGCGCTCCTCTCGACTCGACCCAGTTGGCCCAGAGCCAAAATGCACGAATTCTATTGTATGCATTCGGAAAGCCGGCAGCAATATTTCACCAAATAGTTCAGATGCACTACCTACATGAATCATCCATCGCTCACAGCCCGACTGGGAAAGTTTACATACACTGCTTCGTGACTAATCAATAATAATAAACAAATACACACACATAATAATATCAAGCCGTACTAAATCTAAAACGAAACGTGCAATTAATCATTAGTTACACATGTGTTCGCGAGTGGTGCGAATTCGTCTAATGTTCAGGCCTCGAACGAAACACATGTCGTCATTTTATCGGACTTTCAATTTTAACGATCGATGAAATAACACATCCAGTTAATGGTATATTAAATAGCATCACTTTTTATTTGTTTACCCAATACTTCGCCTGGTATTTATAAGTTTTTATGTTGAAATCTATTTATTACATTATCGAAGAATAAGTTTTTTTTTTCGTAAACATAATAATGACTTTTTTTATTATCAACTAGCGGCCGCCCGCGATTTAGTACGCGTGGAGTTAGAAATAACGGTTCACTGCTCGTTCCCCGTAGGTGATAGCGTGATAATATATAGCCTATATGTTGACCCGACTTCTTAATAATATTCGTGTCAAATTTGAAGTAAATCCATGCAGTACTTTTTGAGTTTATCCCGGACATACATACAGACAAAAATTCTAAAAACTATATTTATGGCTTCGGTATCGATTGGAGATAACAACCCAACCTAGTATTCTTTTAGAAAAAAATCAATGTACAGGTTTGATTTTCCTACCATTTTATTATATGTATAGATTAGGTAAATAGTATTGATTAAAAATGAAGTAGTGTATTGTTATCATCTTTTTATAAAACATCTTTTTATTTGAAGCTACTCTTATTAATTAAAATATACCGTAAGTAAATGGATAATTTGCTGTATACAATAATTTATTGCGCATGATTAAATATGATTCAGGTAAATTAATATTTAAATTATTATTTACCCGTGAGATCGATATCGTATTAAGGCGGATCTTATTAAATAAACTACATAAATTATTAAAATTTATTCATACGCGGCACAAGCGATTGTTCCAAAGAAATTTAAAGTTTTGCCTTCTCGTAAGACTTGTATTGTTTTAAGATCATCTGTTAAAAACAGTTCGAGGTCGAACATAACATCTGTGATGTAAGTGCCACAGCAAGTCATATTATTCTACAACAATAGATATTATAAGGTCTAAGATGAAAAAAGTAGGTAATAAGTAAAATTCCAAAACCACAAGTTTGCTTTAAATTGATTTTGAGCGTTTAAGCAATTATCGCAGGAAAAATAACATTTAATTTTTCAAGTTAAGGAACTCGCAGCGGATAGCAAATAAATTGCCTTCGTCCAGTAACAACAGTAAATCAGTTATTGACAATGACAAAGTAAGTAGAGTCTAGTCACGATTCACGAAGATAGCTAGCTGAATACGGCAGAAGAGTTTTCTAAACAGCATGTGACGCTTACTGAAGCCTAAAGCCCTTCATGTACCTAATGTAATATTCATCCAATCACAGCTTAGATTCTTATTGGAAACGGAGATTTGATTGGACTACTTGACGATTTGAAGTGTTAACTCAGCCCCACAGTTTCCATACTAGCACGGTAATAGATAATATTACCGTGATACTAGTATAAAATTAATAAAAACTTTTTTCAGGTATAAGACACAATACATTTTATAATAATCAATACAAATAATATCAGTACAATAATCAAGTTACATTTTAAGTGTCAAGATCACGTTATTACGTTTGTTATGACTGTATGTCCTTTAGGGTGTTAATTTTTCCAAAACTTTGATTTTCATATAACATTGATTTTCCCTGAAGTATCAGTAGTACAAAAGACATACTCGTATATGCCAAATTTCATGAACATTGAAGAATATTTAAAGGTTGCACATGTTGGCCACGGTTTTTTTGCAGTAGTGAAATGCGTTATATTGAAATGTTTAGTAATAATGTATGTTGTAATTTAATAAACGAATGAAACAACAGTTTCAATATAAAAAAAATATTTTTATCTAAAATTTATCCCTACCATCTAATTTAGAAAATCCTAACTAATTCAAAACAATGTCATCTATTTTTCCCATTTTTTAAAGTTTCTGATTTTTTTTCTTTTTGAAATCACCATAAATAACCATTGAGTGGTCCTGACATCCCATTTTCCGGAAGTTCCAAAGTATGTTTAATTTACTCGATAAAAATCATATACGATAATTAACAGGATGATGAGTTTCCGGTTCATGGGTTTCTTGATGCGAAACGAGCGACAGAAGTTTACTGAATTCGAAATGTCTTTAAATGGAAGTTACCCAAAAGAAGACCTGAAAGTTATTACAACTACCACTTCATTATCTAGAAGGTTCAAGGAATAAATTAATAATAATATTGTCAAGACCTCATCAAACGCCTTACATTAAACGAGGTGGATGTCGTAGGCAATGTAGGTATGCAATGAAAATGGTCTATTTCAATAAATTAAATGACTTAAAGAGATTTTTAAGAAACGAGATGCATGCACATCATGCCATTCTAATATAAGTATGCTGTAGCATTAAGCAACTGTTAGCCGATGGGCTCCAAAGAATTATCTGGAAATGCTATAGCTTTTGAACACTTACCCCAATGCAAACGCAAACAAAATGCTCTTGCAGTTGCCAAACAATAAAAAATCTTACATCGATATTTGTTAGACAGTAAAAACATAGAATTGCCGTTTTTAGCTAAACTTGTTTTTCATGTTGCCATGAAAATTTGCCAAATATTTAACATGCCAATAAAAAAGAATTAAAAGAATTGGGGACAAAACCCTAAATTTTGAAGGAATTGACCTGAGCCTTTTCATTTCTACTAAAAGTAAGACGTTTTTGAATTCTTTGAGATTGATTGTACCATGTGACGTGCCAGAATACTCTGATGATTTCATGAAAAACTAAGTGTCTGTTTTTAAGGTTGTCAATGATCATGCAGAAAGTGGAATTTCTTTGAACTAAAACATTTGCTGTAAGAATTGTGGCAATTACAGAAAAAAAAATAACCAAATGGTCGAAAGAAGGAATTGTGTAGTACAAAGTTGGTTAATATAGCACAACTGTCCTCTTATTTTAATTTACATTTAAATTTGATTTTTAGCTTGATATATTTGTCTTTTAAAAACAGTAATAGAAATTAGAAATGAAAAAAAAATATTCAATCAGTGCAACCTCTAAATGTTATCCAATCTTCTTGAAATTTGGCATAGATAAGTTTTATATCATTGAGATTCGGGGGGCGAGCAATGTCGGCAAAAAAATAAATTATCATATATTATATAAATAAATTATCTTTTTACCTAACAAAATGAAATGCACTAATGTACCTATGTTTGTTTTGAACGATACTTTAATTCTCATATTTAATTTCATTTATTAAGTATGTGTTTGTCTGTAATTTTTAAATCTACATATTTTTAGAAACGGCCTTTTAATAGTACAAGAACCTTAGTGTTGAGGAAGAAAATTAGAACAACAAATATAATAAAATGTTATGGTAAAGTTTAGGATGGCTGCCGTGGCAGGTAAAACTACTGCACCAGCTCATTTCGCGTCTCGTTTCCACAGTCACTTTAAATCAGGTGGGTGGAGTGGATATATTAGTTCCGATCTATACATAGAAAAATGTAAAAGACCTGCAAACAAGCACATGGCCCTGATGGTAAGCAGTCACCATAGCCTACAAACGCTTGCGATACAAAAAATATCACTCGCGCCGTTGCCTACCCTGAGCCAATCCCCTACCCCGTGGAGCCCTGTAACCTTACTCACCGACAGAAACACAACACCACCAAATGTTTGTGTTATTTTAGTGTAGTCTTCTGTAAGGTGGAGGTTACTTCCCCAGTCGGGCGCTCCAATTCGAGCGGAAAACCCGCTATGCTCTATCTCTCTTAACACATACTGGAGCCTCTGTTCATAGTGATTCCGCTGGGCATCGTTGTTTTTTTGTAGTTGGTCCGAATATTAAGAATTGAGACGAGAACAGGGTTATCAAAGTTAAAGGTTAAGGTACAGTAAGTCACCTGTAACTGTTTGAACACATGCGGGAGCCTCTGTTCGTAGTGTTGCCGCTGGGCCTCGTTAGTCTTTCGTAGTTGGTCTGAATACTCCTGTTTGGCATCTTCGCAAGCCTGGCTCCTGAGTTTCATGTTCGCCTTCTGTTTTTCTACTTCCGCGCGACTGGAAAAGATCGCAATTATTAATTATACTGTTAAAACTTTATATTGACCATTCGACCATTTCTGATTTTGACCACCTCTGCTTAAGACTACCTAATAATATGACTGTTTCTGGATTGACTTTCAGTCTTGGAAAAGCATTGACTTTCGGACAAGAATGCTTTTATTAATTTATTGAAACAAAAAAGGTACAAGGCTCATAAATACAGGGATAACTAGGCTAAGAAAATTGGTATTAAAACTTCTGTAAATTAATTAGAATAACATGGCTGTTTAATAAAATCCAAGATTAAAAGAGTTCGTCAATTCACGTTGCGTTAATTAAACATTATTTGATATTAAACACCCAATCATAATGAACTGTTGACTGTTGTAAATAATGACTTTAGTGTAATTGTCACAGTTTCTTTAACGAGCATGTAATAGGATATAAATCATATGTTATTTTCCGTTCGATATATTAGATTTCGATGAAGCATTTACTCATAATATAGGGAACATACACAGTTAGACATGAGCCATGTTACCGTGTTGCATTGCGTGCCATCTTATCTGCTAAAGGTATTTCGACATGATACGTTCACCAGGCATACGTAACCACGCTAGACGCTAGTGGTTCCTTCGAATCGGGCAACACTTCCGCCACAGTTTGTTTGAAGTCGGTTAGTTACCCACATTCGCAAACCGGTTGCGTATCACGCACGAGGTACCTATCTATCTCGTCTTATACTTCAGCTTTAGTTTCGTTTTATACGCCCACACTAGTTGCTAGGCAACTGGGCCGTATGGTTGGATAAACGAGTCCAACTAAACTGGTGTTATATTTTCTTTAATTTAAATTTATTTTTAAAGTATTCCACATCCAGCAGTTAAATAATTAAAAAAAATATAACTACAATTGCTATTTCTTCTTTCAAATGTTTAATACTTGTAGAGGTATTCGTTTGACATTGTGAATTACCTACAATGTGAAGAGATGGCGCTACCTTGCAGCCTCAGAAATACTAGAAAAAAATTCAACACAGCCGTTAGGGCCGCGGTAGCATAATGGTCAGTGCATCCGCCCAGATAGCGGAGGGCGGCAGGTTCGAGACCCTTCTGCTGACTGGTCCGCGAGGCATTTTTTTGTAGTAAAATTTTCTTTAGATTAAAACTGGTATTCTTTTCCGAAATCTGTGGACTTATTCTCTCCCTTAAAGTGATTTTTGAAACGTCTTCTCAATATGAAAGTTTTATACACATATCGATATTTCTAAGAACTTAGGCCCAGCGTAAGAAATAGATGATTTTCTATAAGTCTTCTCATAAGCGGATGAACAATAAGCTGCAGTAATAAACCCACTAGAAGACTGTGTATGATACTCTTACAAAACAAACTTCCCACAACACTTTTATTTTCGATTTATTCTAGTCTTCGGTTTAAAAACAGAATTCTCATACTGTAAGTAAAAAAACAGCTGGTACAATGATTTGAATGATAAAATTGTGTACCCGACTCATAAGACAAAATGTGTCAATTAACTAGAATTCCCTGTAATCTATTCGAAACATTGCAATGATTGGGTACGTAGACAGTCATTCGTAAGCGATTAAGACAGCAATAAAGATACCGATTTCGAAATCGGCGTCTTAAATTGTTTTGAATGCAGCAAATCTATCGAAATCACTCAGCTCAAAGCAATTATTTGGTAAATAATTGCTCTAAGCCCAGAAATATACATGTTTTCGAATATACATATAACTGCAATCGCTTAGAATAGATTCGATCGTAAGCATTGAGAAGTAAAATAAATTTAATGTTAGACACATCATCATCATCACCAACCCATGTTCGTCCACCGCTGGACATAGGTCTCCCCTAATGCACGCCACTGCTCCCGATTTTGTGCTACTCTCATCCAGCCCACTCCAGCCAGCCTACGAATATCATCATCCCATCTTGTCTAAGGGCAGACATCTTGTTAGACACATAACACTTGCAATATTTAATTTTATACATAAATCAGATTTGTGACAAAATAAACTATGAACTACAAACTCTTTACCTTAAGTTGAGATCAGCATCTGCCCTCTGAAACGCATCGAGCGCTCGTTCTGATTCCCTCGCAGCGCGCTCGTACGCTCTTCTCGCTCTATCTAGAGCGCCTATTGCTGAATTTAATACTGCCATTTGTTTTGCGCCTTCGTTTAAATGTTGCTGAAAATAAAAAACAAAGATGTACTTTTTGATATTTATTGATCTCCTCTCCTCATTATGAAGATTACATTAAAAAACTTGTTAGGGAGGCTAGCCAGACGGACTGCATTTCAATGGCATTTCGACTGCAAATTACAGCTCAAATGCAGTTTTATGCAGTTGGCACATCTGCAATGAAAATGTCAACTACCCGTGCATTCCGACTGCAGTCAGTATGCAGTTGTCGGTACAACTGGTGAAGTGGTTGGCATTTTCATTGCAGTCATGCCAAATGCCAAAATTCAAACTACGTTTGAGCTTCAATTTTTCAGTTGGAAAGCCGTTGAAATGCAGTCCATCTGTCGAGTTCCCACAAAAATATGCAATTGCAAATCTCGACTGACGCTATGGATTGTTAAAATTAATGTAAGTAGTCACAATTGCTTCAGCAATGCAAATTGTATATAGAATGCAAACAATATTATGTAAGCTCGGTCCTTCAAAGAGCTTTTCCCACACAATGGGAACGGACAGACACGCGACGCGTTGCGACCGACTTTACTCCGTAATTTTCCGGCGTAGACTCTCATCCACTTTATGACTGCCTCTTTGCAATTGTGTGAATTGTTTTCATGCAAAAATACACGAGTAGGTACATTTACGTTCCCGAACAGTGTGAACCGTCTTGATCACTAAAAAAAATAAACACTACCGAGCCGAACGACGTAATGGCCTCCATTAGAAAAGTCGTTGTCCCACTTATTCCTAACAAGTCATAACGTAGCAAAGAGGTTTGCTCTTAATTGTCACTGATATGGTAGCCGCAAAAGCTTTTGGGCAAATTGTAGGTAGTGTAAACAAATTGCTGAGAAATATACATCATTATTTAACATTATTATTAGTTTACGTTACTGAATCTGAGTTTGCAGGTTTAATACCTGGGGCTGGTCAAGTAGAAAATAAATATATGACCAGGCCCAGGTATCTAACCGTGGCTGAGTGGTATATACGCCGGGTTTCATAATAATAATAATAAAAATCTTTATTGGATAAATACCAGAATACAAATAAGAAGGGACCCTGGCTCCTAAAAATATAGGATTAAACCGTGTATTTGGAGCCAGTATCTTCCAAAAAATTACACATTTACATGGTAATTTCAGACGCGTATAAGGCAATGTTTAGTGTTTTAAAATTTGAATTACAAAGTTATTGGGAAAATACATGGTTAGTGTTTCATATTTATCCAGCGTGTGGGTGTGTGTGTGTATGTGGTTACGTGCGTGTGTGTTTACGTTTATGTTTGATGATGTGTGCGTGCGTGTTTATTATCTCGAGGTGCCATAAACAAGACTCTCTACACCTTTATAATGGTATGTCTTAAGCCAGTTAATTATCTTACTTTTAATTGTTACTAAAGTTCTTAGTCCCGAAGCGTTTTAATTAGTTTATTGTACAATAAGTATGCCTGGTAACAAAACTGTCTCTTTGCAAAAGAGCTGACCGTCCTGGGAATTCTATATTTGTCTATTTTTGTTTCATGGCATATCCTATTCAGAGTCGGTAGGGGCAGATGTTAGTATGATGAATACGATAATTTGTACCTTAGTCATGGATGTTTAAATATATTTCTAGATAAAATATACTTATATACATCATTATAATATATGTATTCTATCCGTTACCCTAGCGTCCCATAACACAACCCTTACAGTTTGGATCTAGGCTACTTGGTGTAGGTGTAGAAAAAAAATCCTCGTTGTCTTCAGGGTCATTGCATTGGTATAATATCCCTGTTTAATATTCGATATCAGTATCGTTGGTACTTATTTTGGAATACAAAGATTGTAATTCGAAGACGAATCAGCGTTTTTATCATTTAACTTAAGAAAGTATCGAACAATAAAAAAAACACAAACCTTCCTTTCTTCTCGCAGCTCCTTAGCGAGCAGATGCAACTCCCTAACTACATTTGACTGAAGGTTCTCCGCGACCACCTCGCGCTGACCCGCGAAGTCGCCGAGCTCTTGTAAAAGCTGTCTGAACGCTTTGCACGCTGAGTATCTGTTGACAAAATTGCCACAATATAGGTATTTCGACCCGAATGAGTGTCTGTAAATAAAATTGGCGCAACATGTAAACCGTCATTTGTTTCGACCCCAATTCTAGTTACACCCCGGATTCTCTATTTTGTGTCGAATCACACACACAGCACAGCATGTCTTGAATAATAAAATCACTGACAGGAGAATGTCCAAACGTCAATGTCGAATTGACATTGTTGTATGATCTAAATTTAGTTTATTAAAACTGAGATTAGGCAAAATTGCTGCAAGTGGACCTAACCGTACAAACTGCGTTTAAACAAATGTAGCGTTTGTGTTTCTTGCAATAATTTGTTTGTTTCCTCGCAAATTAAGATAAAGGGTTTTATAAGTCGCGCTCGAAAAAGATAGGTATACCTAATCATTATCACACTACTTTCTACACAATAATATCAGATTAATCAACATTCCCATCTTGAGTTCTCACTAATATTGATACGATCATATTGTGTTAAAAACTCAGCATCAATCCCCGGTTAACATTGAAATCTGAACAGTGTGATTAAACGGATATCAAGCATAACTGATACACATCAGTAAAGTAATCTTGAAAGCACCATTCATTTATTCTTGATAAGGCGTGGAAGAGTTTATTCAATTTTAACTAATAATACTACTAGTGGGAAATACACATTAAATGTAACGGTTAATCAATTTTGGTCGAGTCCGCCGGCATGACTTCACATTGTACTTATCAACTAACTAATCAAGTCCGTCATACATAGTTTGTATAATCTAAAACGATTATTCTCTTCTATAGGTTAGTGTTAATGTTGTTGCCGTAGAAATTATAAAACCATTAATAGTCTTGTTTGAAAATTACTGGCTCTAGAACTTTCCCTCTTAATAAAATTGTTATCTTATAATGCTAATATAATAAATATCACAATGCAATGTAGCTAGAACATCAATTTATTATTAGAAATTTTAATATATATAATTTGTATCCAATATAATTTGTCATTGTATATTGAAACTCAGTCATTTATGAAGGTGACGGTACTGTCAGCAATTTTTGATCAAAACAAATTAAAGTAAAAGTAATCACAATTATTGTTACTATAAGTAGGACATTTTCAAATAAGTCATCAGATGTTTATGGCCGGTTCAAATTATTCCACAACCATTCCAGTCCAGTAATGGAATCCAACCCAGTAACTGGATTGTCGTTCTACTTTTCATTCCAGCGCCACTAAAATAGTGTAGACTACCATTCCTTAGTACGAGTTTTAAAATTACGAAAACTATGATAGTTTTCGTGAGCTTGCACTCGTACTAAGGGTACTGATTTTATTGTTTTCGTTTCAATACAAATAAACAGTGTTTAAATTATATCATTAAATCAATTGCGCGTAGTTTTCGTGAGCTCAAACTCGTACTAAGGATACAGTACTGGATTAAATGACAAACATTTAAAAATTTTCGAACTGCTTTTTTGTGCACTGATAACACAGTAGTAACAATACTATAGTCTTACCAGTTCATCGGTTTTTAGAAGACTAGAACAATGTGAAGTATATAATCCAGTTAACACTGTTTTGATTCGCTGTATTACTAGACTGAAATTATGTGAATCGATCGAGCATTAAGCCAATATTAATAAGTACCTTGAATTTAATATATACCAAACTTATTAAAATGTTAATCCTCTATTGAATTTACGACAAATGTAACTAATACGATTTCTACATACAACCGTTTAGGTACTTGTTGAGAATTAGAAAACACTTATTGTTTTTAACATAAATGATGGTTTCCAAAATTAAAAATACAAAAAATATACTTACTGGTATTCGTCTTCTTCTTTTCTTTTTGGTTGATAGTTTTTGACGAGCCTCCTGAAAACATCGAATGTCATAAAATGTTGATAGAGCAAACTAAACATATCTATGTACTAGCTAGATTGATATCCACCTTCCCTCAATTTTTCTGAGTAAATTAAACTGCTTTTTTGGTCACGTTAGGTAAAGATCAGGTTATCAAATAAACACTCTTAGTTTTTCAAATCCTTTACTAATAAACATCAATAATAATGTAAAAATTCAATAAATCGCGCTTCACACACATTCAAAATGTGTTCTATATTATATTATCTACCCTAATGGATCTTTTTTTTTTAAACCTAGCTTCTGTCACAGGTCTGAATTAAATAGTAATAATACACCCCAGGTAAATAAATAACTAAATAAATGGTAGCAATCCCCAACGAATAAATTGATTATGAAAGACCATGAAATGTTAATCAATTTTTTTTTATTAAAATCCTGAAATCTCATAGGTACGTACGAAATATGTAATCATTACATAAAATTATGACGGAGAAAAATAACTTTGAATAAGAAACTAATAAACAATAACTATGTCAGTAATCTAAATATTTTATAATTTTAATGTAATTTATTCGTAAGCTCAAAAGAGATGAGTAAAAGTGATATAATAATGTGATTTGACAACAAGTCTGAATCCGCATTCTTGACTAGCAAATTAAAAAACATTTTTTAGTAAGAGTTACTAATAATCAAAAACAACAATATAATTCTATTACATATAACATTATTTAACATACACTGTAACAACCGCACTCAGGGACGTCCTTTTTTTTTAATTGATGGTGTTGCTTTCTTTGTCCACGGACTTTTTGTCCTATCAATGGATTGCTTACAGTTGCATCGAAGAACGCACACTCGGTATTAAAAATACCGCGTACAAAACTCCCCCGATCAACCGAGGACACAGAGACTGGACAGAAAAAAGTACACCAGAACCCGGAAAATAGAACGCAAAAGTCAAAAACATATAAATACTGCTTATTTAGTTACTAGACTTCGTACGCGTGGAGCTAGTTACAAATAAAGGTTCACTGCTCGTTCCCCGTAGGTGAAAGCGTGATAATATGTAGCCTATATGTTGACCCGACTTCTTAATAATATTCGTGCCTTTAAAGTAAATCCGTGCAGTACTTTTTCAGTTTATCCCGGACATACATACATACAAACATACAAAAATTCTAAAAACTATATTTTTGGCTACGGTATCGATTATAGATCACACCCCAGGTATTCTTTTAAAAAATATTCAATTTCGGTTTTGACTTTTCTACCATCTTATTATATGTATAGATTAAATGAAAATATAACAAGTGTCACGTTGGACGGCAAAAAAATATCCCATATTGCGAGCCATTTTGGCCTGCACTGCAAAAACAATTCAAGTTACATGAATTATGTACTATGGAAATACACTCACGGACACCTAAATCGAGCCACCTTCATTTTTTTGGTTTGGAGTACTGTAACTTATAAAAGATGTATGTAGAAGGAAAATGTTTTGTTGCAGTTTTGGAGCTGATATACTCATCATTCATTTAGAGTGAAGCTGTTCTAAATTTGAACTACAGTTTATTAAAAAAGTCGAGTTACGTTGAAATAAGTCCATATTTGCTTTTTTCAAGGAAAATAATTTAATCGATTTTTAAATAAAGAACATGTTTTACATGAAAAGAAATGTTTATTTAGTAACTTGTATTGCCTCCCAGTGCATTTATGACAGCTCTCATACGGTTTGGCATAGAATTAATCAATGTCGTTATGATATGTTGAGGAATGTCCTCCCATTCTTCCAAAATTACATTTTTGAGCTCCTGCATGGTTTGCGGGGCAGGATGATGAGCTCGAACACGCCTCTTCAGCTCATCCAATAGAAGCTCTAAAGGATTCATATCAGGACTTCGCGCTGGCCATCTCATAACAGTGATACCAATGTCATTTAAGTACTCCCTGACGATTCCCGCAGTATAGGCCCTTGTATTATCATGCATTAAAACGAAATCTTGGCCAATAAATCGAGCATATGGCATCACGTGGTTCTCTAAACATTGGCGAATGTATCTATTGTCATCTAGGGGCGGCAGTCGCGGTCCCGTCACTACTTCTAGCTCAGTTTTGCCTTCCATAGAGATTCCTCCCCAGACTATCCATTCTGCGACTGACTATTCAATTTCTCGTCAATACAGCATTGCGCGAAACGCTCGTTCTGTCTTCGGTACACCTTACTCCTTCCGTCATTACCGTATAGCATTATCTTGGGACTCATCTGTGAAGAGAACCTGGCTCCATTGATGTCGAGTCCAATTTAGATATTCGCGCGCAAACTCTAGACGGGCTATTCGGTGTGCTCGTGTCAATTTGGGTCCATTGGCTGGCTTATGGGGCTTAAACCACGTTCATTGAGTCGCCTTCTAACGGTCCGAGCACTTACAGCCACTCCGTGAAAGTCCCTGAGCTGTTCTTGTATCTGAACAGAGTTAAGGCGTCGATTTCGTAAGATAGTAGTGACAATGTCTTGTCTCGCCGTTGTCACTCGGTAACGAGGTCTTCCTGTTCGCCGAACGAAGCCGCCAGTCTCCAGGTATCGGTGGTACACTCTTTGAACAGCGGAACGACTTATGTGAAGTTGTGAACTCACATCTCGCTGACTTAGCCCAGATTGAAGAAGTGCTACAGCTTGCGCGGCTACTTCAGGTGAAGTATCCATAATTTTATAGCCAAAAACGGTTCAAATTATAGAAAAATAACTAAACTAAACTTTGGTTTACAACAATTGCGAAAATTCAAACCAAATCGACATTAAATTGCTTCAAAAGCAACTTTCAACAGGCATTATTTTTTTCAAATCGGTGACCAAGCTCGACTTTTGTTCTCTATTTTAAAGTCTATAATTCAAATTTGGAATAATACATACGGGAAAGACGATGAAATATGCCAGCATTAAAAATTCATAAAAACTTTTTTGTTATATTGTATATTTTTTGTGTATTGGGCTTTTAGGCCCGGGAATGTAAGGTGGCTCGATTCAAAAGTCCGGGAGTGTATATCTCTTAAGTAGTTCCACAAAAATGACCGCGACAGCACATATAAAAGACAATGGGCAAAACACACCCAGCTCCGTCAACAATGTAATTAGTATGAATCGATAGATCTATGAAAAACTAGCCTCTTTTATTATGACACCGTAAAAAAATATTCTGGTAGTCAAAAGATATGACACATGGGCATATTAAATATGCCCATGTGTCGCGGTGTACTATGCAGTAGTCTGCGGGTAAGTTGGGAGAAGAAATTTTGATGAATTTTGGTGTTTATAAACGTAGATAAAACCTAGGAGGAAAAGAAAAAAATGGGCTACTCGCAGTATACGAATCCTATACCAAGTACTTAATAATAAAACTGTGAAACGAAAGTTGAAAGTTTATTCTTATTAAATGCTGAAAAAAAAATCATATAATAGGTATTTATGATTACTGAAATGTAATGAGAAACCTCAGAATTATACTGTTGTCTTCAAAGTTTTTTTATTATTATTATTGAAAATTTTGATCTATTCTTGAATATGTAATGGGTCCCGACTGTTATAGTAGCTTTGTTACTTACTTAACAGAATTATAGACTACTGGATTTGTTTTTATCTTTTCAGTCTTTATTTGAAATAATATTTAAGCAGTCGGGTTTTTTGTTTTTCTTTTTATATTTATTTTATAGGGGGCATACGAGCTGACGGCTCACCTGATAGTAAATGATCACCGTCGCTTTTATAGACACCTGCAACACTAGGAGAATCACAGATGCTATGCCGGCATTCAAGTAAAGAGTACGCTCTTTTTTTAGGGTTCCGTAGCCAAATGGCAAAAAACGGAACCCTTATCCGGATTCGTCATGTCTGTCTGTCCGTACGTATGTCACAGACCTTTTTTCCGAAACTATACTGCTGAAACTTGGTAAGTAGATGTACACTGCTGGTACAAAATTTCGACAAAATCCCGAGGTTGTGGAAAGCCACGCAAAATCAAAGTGGTGGGAATAATTTTTGTCGCGAAGTACGATGGCGTGAAGCAGCTGCTGGTATTAATCGAAACAATTCCTGTTAACACTTCCCCCATAATAAATGAGAAGATGCAAAACGAAGCTATATCTCTACGCAGAGTCAAAAGGATCAAGTTTAACGGAAAAGTTCCAGTCGTCAACAATTCGAGTCATATTTATTCCCCTGCCCCAGCGGCAACGCGCTGCAACGCAAACGGCCGAGTTTAGTCTGCGTTGCGCGCAGATGGACCCAGTATACTACTTATTTTAAACGTCTTCTCTTTTTTTAAACTTCATGTTCATTACATCACATCTTAATCTGAGAATATTTACTTCGAAAGCATGCGCTTTTCAAAATTGTGAAAATTGTAATTACCTACTTGGCGTAATATTTAATTTTTCGTACAAAATAAAGTCTGTATCACTCACAAATAACGTGGCTCTTTACTGATAAAAGTATTTTCAAAATCGGTTCAGTAGATCCATAGAATACCTCCATAAATTGCAACCTCATAAGCTTTACCTCTTTATATTATCAGTATAGATTTGTCCCACGGCAAATTTTATGGCAACCATTTGACACTTAAAACGAGCACGACGACGTGCAGGTAACACCCCTGGTGTTGCAGTCGTCTATAGGGGGCGACAGCCACTATTCAATTCTTTATTGCAATGCTTTACCAGAATGACATGCTTCTTTGCCACTCTTCTAGCATAAGAAAAAAACAATAAAAAGACTACACTAGAACAGTCGCTCTGATATAAATAGGACTTAAAGAATTGATTATTTTATTTTCTGTTACGTACCTGAGTTTTGATGCATATTCTAATTCTATTGCGCACCGCTCCTTAACGAAAGTTCCATATTTGTCTAGAAATTCAATTCCTTTGTGTGTGTGGGCAGCTAAGTTATCATACTGATCCTGCGAACAAAAGAAACTAAATATTAATAAATGCGATGATAATTATGTGTAACAACACTGTGCGATCATTATTATTATTAATAATAAAGAGGAAACTGGCAACGATACGAGGTCATCACGGCGGGAAACGGACCGACCCGCGTAACTCTTGATAACTAGCAACACTATAAAAACCATTTATTTGTTGCATTAGGTAGTAATTACTTCACTGTTTAATGCTCATTAAAACAGCCATACCGCAGTTTTACATTCGCAGTAATTTACAATCAAGTTTACTGTTAAGACCGGTAATCATATTCCACGCCTCAATCCATAATAGATAATCCTATTTCGGAACGTCTTAAATATTCTTATAATGTTGATTTTAATATTGAATATTGTCTATACAACTCGTGTGCATACATTTTCTCTCATCATGAAAAACCACGAACAATGGTCTGTTTCCGTTGAATACACATAGATAATAATAATAATAAGAGCTTTTTAAACTAAACGTAGAAAAAGTAAATGACATTTAGGATAAAAAAAGGTTCTGATAAACCAGATAGGGCGTGGTCATGGCGTGGAACCACTTTTCCGAACCCACCGCACCGTGAGCACCGAGCCGATGCATTGCGGGATGCGCTTGCGTGAGAGATGAATGCGCGTGACACAGCCTACTACCGTGCCCGCTGCCCTTGAATCTGAAGGAATTCGCAGTGCAACGACTTTTAAAGTGGCAAGCGTGGTTGAACACCTTTACTATCAATCGCCGAGTGTTATTTTGCGTTACAAGGTCTACGTTTATAAGCACACGTGAGCTGTCTAAAACACCGAAGCCACATAACTTATCCTTAATACGGATTCTTTGTGTAACAACTAAATATTTAAGAAGTTAAAATATCCCAAAGCCTATATATCCATTATAAATTGATAAATTAAAGTAACTTTTAAATACAGAATAAAATAAATTGACAGAGTATGATTAAATAGATAGGTAACCAAATAAATTCAGTAACGAAAACGTTTCGTTAAGTAATGATTAGAAGAATGGGTAGATTTTATCTATTTTAAAACCTTTTGAAAGATACTCCTTTATCTGTATTATTCATAAACATACATGAAGTATGACGGATATTATTGGATGATGAGCAGTCAAATAACTTACTTTAGATAAGTTATAGTTATATCAATAACGTATATTAATTTCATTATTTCATTCAATAACTATTAAATAACGCAATAACGATTAATTCGATAAAACTGTTAGAGATAAATATACTGAGCTTATCTGGTATTACTAAATAATGTATGTATTTATCAAGTAGGAGATACATTTCTCAAAATACTAATATTAACGCAGACGAAGTCGCGGGCTGCCGCTAGTAATTACTACTACTGGCACTATTAACTGTCATATGACTGTTAGTTATTTAGTTTCCTTGGTACAAAAACATCTGCTTCGTTTGGGACTTTAAACTTAAAGTCTGCCACACCGGCTGTTCTAAACCTATCCGTATTTAACATTATGTGGGGTGAAAAAACTTCTCCAGGTCTTATAATAAAAAGTACTAAAACGAGCAATGGCAAAGTTATCATAATTCTAGTAAAAAATAAACAGGCTTTCCAAGTGGCGGTATACTTACTTTACTTATACGGTTGTCAAAGGAGTTCGTATGAAATTAAACCGGTAAACATTGCTATAATGCTCCTAGATAACAAGTAGTTTTGAATGGTTGATGAATGCGTAAAGTGGGACAATAAAGGAATAATAGATGGGCAACGTACACGACGAGCTGGAGAATGGGGGTCAATGGGAGTAATAACGCTGCGATATTGCTGCTTTTATATTGTGAGGTGACTGACTTTTGAATCACAATATAATAATTTAAGAATGCATGCAACTAACAAATTAAATGTTTACTTATGAGATAAATCTAATATATAAAATTCTCGTGTTGCGGTGTTTTTGGTTAAACTCCTCCGAAACGGCTGGACCGATTTTCGTGAAATTTTATATGCATGTTCAGTAGGTCTGAGAATCGGATGTAATCTATTTTTCATCCCCCTAAATGTTAAGGGTAATCCACCCCTTTTTTTTTGTGACGAGGGGAAATGCAGTTACGCACCATACCGTGACGCTGACTAGGCGCACGGCGTGTGTGGGACTCGCCGGCACGGGAAACAGTGCCGACCCTACTCAAGCAGGACCAGTGCGGAAGGCCACACTGATCCTACTCTACTAAAACCCCCCGGTACCCTCCTACGCCCATATGGGGGCGTCTCGGGGCCGACGCACCTGCGTGCGCCACATCTCCGAGCACGCCCCCGGGCAGGCCCGGCCCAACGAGTGGACCGGGCGACGCGCAAGGGTAATCCACCCCTAATTTTTTTTTTCAATTTTAGATAAAAAAATTCTTTTTATTATTTTTTTATGATACATCGTACAAAAATACATACAACCCTAAATTTTCACCCTTCTACCACCAACCACTATAAACGGCTTTCCCAATTCCATCATTCTCAAACCCACCGGTACCCTCCTACGCCCATGTGGGAGCGTTTCAGGATCGGCGCACCTGTGTGTGCGTCACTTCACTGGAACGCCCCCGGGCCAGCCCGCTCCCCTCCGACGAAGACCGGCAGCCACGGCTGCCTGCCTTCTTCGGCCCACCCGTCTACGTCGGAGGGGAGCGGCTAGAGCGTCCTCCTCCCGTTCCCTCTCCGCGGCCTTCTTCTGCGTCATCACCGATTCGCAGAAGCAGGCGGCAGCCTTCCAGGCCCGCTCGCTACCAAGCATGGCTCTAACCATGCTTGGCAACGAGAGGTCTCCACCACCGAGCCCCGCAATCAGAGTGCGGCGCTCGTTTCGCCAGACCGGACACACGATTAGCGTGTGCTCGGCCGTGTCGTCGGGAGAGACGCAGTGATGACACCGCGGCGACTCCTCTCGACGGGCGACACGGTGCAGGTAGTGACCGAAGCACCCATGTCCGGTCAGTACCTGCATCAGGTAGTAGGTGAGGCTGCCCCGCTGGCGCCCTACCCACTCCTCCAACACCCGACGGATCGCCTCGATCGTCCGGTGGCCAGCGGCTGGGTTGGCGAGTGCCTCGCCCACCGGCGCAGAGCCTCCCTCTGCGCCTCGGTGCGGACCCGTTCTACCTCCTCCAGAACGGGTCGCTCGCCCCGCAATCTCGCCGCGGCCCTGTGTTGATGCACCTGGAACAGAACCAGGGCATCAAATTCCCACGGGAGCGTGCCTGCCAGGACGCAGGCAGCCCCGTAGCTGACCGTGCGGTACGCCCGCACGGCCCGGGCCGCGATGACCCTCTGCGGCCTGCGCAAGAGGGCCCTCGTGCGGGACGAAAGGCACTCCGCCCAAACCGGGGCTCCGTATAGTGCCATCGACTTTATCGCCCCGTGATAAAGCCGACGGCACGACGCCTTCGGCCCCCCCACAAGGGTAATCCACTCCTAATTTTTTTTTCAATTTTAGATAATTTTTATTTTTTTTTATGATACAGCATTAGTAAATACATACAACCCTGAAGTTTCAACTTTCTACCACCAACCCCTATTTTTTTATGGCGGTACGAAGTTCGCTGGGTCAGCTAGTTATATATATAAATATTTCCAACACTCTCATCAATTAGCCTAGCCCCAATGAAAACACTGTAAGGCTTGTGTTATGGGATACTAAGGTAACGGATAGAATACATATAATGATAAATATATAAGTATATTTATATAAAAATACATATTAAACATCCATGACTGGAGTACAAATGCTCGTATTCATCACACAAACATCTGCCCCCACCGTGATTCGAACCTGGGACCTTTCGAGTCGGCGACACCATGAAACCCGGCGTACACACCACTCGGCCACGGAGGTCGTCAAAAATGTGTTTATTTTCTCTTTATCTTTCTTAGTAGGTAGGTATATAAATAAAAACACATCATGTTTTACAGTAAATGGGCACCTGTGACTTAGAGACACTTTTACCACCTATATTTAGGTTATCATATCACACGCCTAATACCATACTCAATTCGCTTGAAGATTATTTAACTCAATCAACCCGGATAAATTATCTAAATTCATATTAGAAATTAGTATGTTATTCTGCAAGTTGTGCTAGTTAGGGTTGCCACCCGAACATTATTATAAAGTATTGTACGTTATGTCCGGTAATTATACTCTATACTTTATGCTTACGATAAAGTACACGAAAATACTTTATTTTGTGTGATTTGATTTGTAGAGGTTTTGTTTTACATAAAACATACAAAAAAAGGTTGATACTAAGAACTCATAGCACTGTAGCTCATTCCTGAACGAAATTTAATCACAAATGTCAAGACTGTCGTGGCTGTTTGGCTTTGTACCATGGCCTTTCCCATTGCCGATAAAAACTACAGATTTATTAAATGTTGTAGTTGCTAGAAGCAACAAAAAATATATTTATTAACATACTAATAATGTGGAATAAAAACTACTGAATGTTGGGCACAATGTGTTTTTTTTCTACCTTTAATATCCAATGTGCTTTATTTGGACAAAAAAAGGTGGCAACCCTAGGTGTGCTACACATCTTAGCCGTTGAAGCGATTTTGAACCAAATTAAGAGTGAAAATTTGTATGGGAAGCAATTTTTCTTCGCAGGGGAATTTTCATTAATTTAGCTAATTCCCCAAAAAGTACAACACCTCCGATTGAGGCTACAAAAGGTCACACAGTAAAATGCGGTAATTAATAAAAAGAGGCACATCATCGTAATTTCCCAAATATGTTACAAATTACAGTTATAATAACTTGTAACAGTATATTAGTTCCGAATTTTAAATAAATTAACTCGTCAACTAATCACGGGACTTATACTGAAATTGAAAACATAACTGTCTAAATTACTTACACATTTGCTAGTCAATTATACAGCACTGACAAATACGTGAAATTTTTAAAACATCAATCAAAATAATACCGTTAAATATAATTATAAATTTCCTATGATAAA